TGAACAATCTCCAAACAATTCAAGAGTTGAAAGATGTGATTCGGCACATTATTCGTGAGATACCGCCGGAAATGCGCACAGATGTGATCGAAAATTTTGGCAAAAGAGTTGTGTGTTGTGAGAGAAGTCGCGATGGTTATTTGTTGGATATCGTGTTTCACGTATAATTGTTAACGATCATGTTACTTATTGCTATAAAGTATTTAATGTTTCCTAGTTGGCTTTTCGTTTGAATTGAGAAAAACATCCGGAAACTCTTACCAGAACATCCTATATATTTTTATATGACCCTGTATAATATTTTCTAAGTGTGTTTTCACATGCGCCATTCTTGTAGTGTTTGTTTCGAAAAGAAATAATGACGTCAATAGCTATATTTTACATAAAATCGTATAACTCATAATAAAATCGTAGTCGGCTGCGATATTCAAAAAATCTCAAAAATATCCCGAGGTATATACTAAGGTAGTCTTCTAAACTCAACTCACAGAATGGGGTGAACCCAAATTTTCGTAGAGAAATCGCCAACCTATGTTTCACCCTGTATCTGTCAGCAGGTGGACGGAAATCTGTTAGCAAATGGAATTTAATTAGCACTTAGAGCAGCCTTTCACTCCTGAAAATTTAAACAAAATCGGCCAGCTAGATTTTGAGTTATGGTCTCACCAAAAGGGACCAAAAATTGGGGTGTTCGAGTTCGATTGATGCGTAGAAATTCACCTGACCGTCATTCTACCGCTTGCACATTCAAAAACGCGTTGGTATTCTGCATACACATTGATGTTTTTGTTCGCGCGTTCTTGTATGTGCGTACATGTTTTCAGACATCCACGTCCGTGTGTAACCGCCTTTACACACAAATCCCCTTAGGTACCGTTCTTCCTTCATACTTTCTCTCATTAAAATTACCAGTTCAGACTACCCATTCCGATAAATAACCCCCCCCCCTCTCCAAACTGTCTCGCCACCACCACCAAAAGCCTCTCTTACTTCCATGCATTCTTCTCTATAGCTCTCGCTCTCACGCGTTTCTCTAAAATCTGTTGATTTATTTAAAAATAATTCCCCAAGTCAAAAATTTAGTATTAAGCCATCCGCGCCCGTGTGTAACCGCCCAAAATCTGCATTCATCCACAAACAAGCATCCCTACCATTTAGCTACTTCCCAGTGTCTATTGTCTATGAATATCAGCCCAGTTTATTCGTGCTCTTCGATGGCTGCTTTTAATAATGGACATGCTGTCTGACTCTTAAATTTCTCTCATGAAGACGTGTTAGAATTATTGTTGATTTTGAGGCTTCATGCAATTCTTAACGCGATCCTTATTCGCGAAGAATTGAGAGCTCTGTTTTGTCGCACTGGTAAAAGAATTCTGTTGTCATCCCGAGCCGAAGTAATTCTTGGTTTACCACCTGCAATGTCTATAAGCAGCGGTGCCATTTTATTGGCCATAAAATTACGCGACATTGCCCTAATTTAACCGACCTCGTATCTTTAAAAATAACCAAGATACCTCTAGTTAGAAAAATAGACACACTGTATATTTTTGTATGACCCTGTATGATTTGTTTTAAAGTGTGTTTCCACATGCGCCATAATTGTAGTGTTTGTTTCGAAAGAAATAATGACGTCAATAGCTGTATTTTACACAAAATTGCATAACTCAAGATAAAATCGTAGTCGGCTGTGATATTCAAAAAATCTCAAAAACGTCCCGAGGTACTAAGGTACTCTTCTAAACTGCATACCAAAAATCTACTTAACACTCCTTCCAGCAGAATGGGGTGAATCCAAACTTTCGCGAAAAAATCGCCACCTTATGTTTCACCCTGTATCTTTTTGCAGGGGGCTGGAAATCTGTTACGAACTGGAGATTAAATAGTAATTAGAGCATTCTTCCACTCCTGAAAATGTGAACAAAATCGGCCTGCTAGATTTTGAGTTATAGCCTTTCAAAAAGTGACCAAAAATTGGGGTGTTCGAGTTCGATTGACGCGTAGTATAGCGTCGCCGACAGAGCTGCAACAAGTCAGTTTTAAAAAGACTTAAATCTTAAGTCCTAAGTCATTTCGAAAATCAAAATTATTTAAATCTTAAGTCAACTCTAACATAAAGTTCAAAATATTTAAGTCTAAAAGTCTTTGACTTAAACTATTTTCTTTCAAGTCAAGTCATTTCCGTAACGACTTAAGTCAGTATAATGTGATTTAAGTCGTTTTAAGTCAAAATAATCACTCTCAAGTCAAGACAACGAGAATTCAATTTTCACCTATTTTTCAATATACTACATATCAATTTTTGGGTATTACTTATCTATTGTAGATACAGATGAGAATAAAACCACTATTTTAAGAATTTAGAACGGTTTATTTTCAGAACACTCACAAACTATTGAAATATTAGAACGCCTTTTTTTAGCATAGAGTATACGATACATACAGGGACAGGGTGACTATTGTTTCAAACACATATAATGGGTAGCTAACTTTTAAACGGTCATTTCAAACTCGGTTAAATAAATGTTGAAGGTTATGCTCCATTTCAAAAAGTGATAAATTTTCCTAAGCTTGTTTTTAAAATGTTTTCATAATATTCCAGGAACCCAGGAACTGACAAAAAAAAATCGGGAACAACATAAATCTGATTTAAATCTATTCTGAAATATTTTCTAAATTACCTAAACAATTTATAGCCTGTTGCCTTTTATAAAGACTTAAATCTATTTTTTGAATTGAATCGTTTCTAGATGACTTAAATCGTATGTACTGATTTAAGTCCTTTAAATAATGACTTAAGTTTTTTTCTTTTTCGGAAAACACATTTAAGTCACAAATCATTTAGAGAATGATTTAAATTTTAAGTCTTAAGCCAGTTTTCAAGAAATGACTTAAGATCAAATGACTTAAGTCATTAAAATGATTTAAATCAAAAAAAAAAAAAGATTTAAGTTTTCTGATAGCTTGCACCTCTGGTCGCCGACGAAGCCAACACAGTAGCGTAGCGATTTTCCTTCCTATGTAGTTTCCTAATAGTATATCAATCCAGCGAAGTACAAAGCGGTTGAGTTAACGAGAAGCACCATTGAATTCAATATAAGATGTTTTTCGCACGAATAATACTAATTTCTTAAACAGCGACATTGCGTTAACAACATGGTCTATTGTATCTATAATAGTTGCGTTTTCGACAAATTGAATATCTATTAAATTGATTACGATTATTATAAACTGTCGTTGTAGGAATGATTTTATTCATCAAATAAATTGTTTGGTTTGCTTAAGTGAAACCTGGACCGGTTACAAGTTTTAATTTAACCCTTATAGCAAGTGCTTTGTCTGGCTGGGGTCTTCTTCCCAACTTACAAGTGCTTTAGTCTGGTTGTAAGTTACCTATCGTACGCCCTAGTGCAAGTGTCGTGACTTTAAGTCCTGTCAGGTACTAAGGCCCTTCCGCTCTTCTATCCTAAACTATCAGGATCAAGCAGAAAATACCATCCAGACAACCACAGTCTCCTGGAGCGTACAATCTTTCTTCGTAACCAATACTACTGGCGCAGACCATGGACTATTTGACTCTTCAATAATTCCTTCTTGAAGCATTTTATCAATTTGGCTTTCCACTTCCTGTTGTACAGCTACTGGCATACGTCGAGGTGATTGTCTAATTGGGTGTGCCAATCCAGTATCAATTTTGTGTTGAATTAAACTGGTCCGTCCGGTTTGATTAACCATCACAAATACGTCTGCTTCTTTCAAGATGAAATCTGTGGCTTCTTGAACTGTCTTGAAGTCTATCTGGATCGAGGTGTTTCCATCATTTCTCCAAACTCTGCATCAAGGTTTCTGTATCCAATTTCGATTTTTCAAAATGTCACTTATCTAGTAATAGCGGGTATTATAAAACTACTTTGACAGTTAACTTAAAGTTAACTTCTTCCTTCTCATGTAATTCCAGAAGTTAACTTTAGGCTAACTGTCAAAGTAGTTTTATAATACCCGCCCTAAGTCACAGTTCACCCGGCACGTTGGTTCTTGATCAAGGACGTGAGAGACGGCCTACTCAAGCCAAGCAACGTGGTGTCGGGTTAGAGATTGGATGGGTGACCGCAGTAGTACGGGACGGTAGGTCGCCCGCGCTACCGTCAATCATCGGATCGGATCCGGATCTCCAAGTATGAATGAGAAGTATGAAGGAGAAGGAGTAGAGCCCATACAAATGAAATACAAAAAGCCTATAAAGGCTGCAGTGTAGAGTATGGGCTCGAAAGGCTGAAATTAAATAAATAATAATAAAAATAAGTCACAGTTCGATATTTGCTTAACTGGTTCAAGAGTTTCAGAAGAAACATTGGCAATTCTTATCTCTCCATTTGTTCTTACTAGAGTCTGTCCAACGAGAAATTTTTCTGGTTTATCTCTAATAAAATTATGTGTTAGTCCAACGCAGCACCCAGGGTTTGTTTCCAATTTTCCGCAAATGATCTTCTCAGTACTTCCAGGAATTCTCACTAGGTTCGTGGCCAGGATCTTAACGGCTTGGGAACATAGAAGAGAAAAATAATAATTTTTGTTTGAGAATCTCGATTTTGAATGTATTATTGTTAATAATAATTTTGATCAACAGACACGTGTGATGTTAGTTTGTCGCCTAGCCTAGAAGTTATAGGTATAGCAGAGTACTGATATTCCTGTTTTTATTTCTTATATTGCCTCGAAGTCCGGAATTGAAATATTGTTTTTGAAAATGAATAAATAAATAAATCCCTACACCAATAAATAAATCAAATAACTTCCCAGAAATCAGGTTTATCAAATAAATATTAGATTTAGAAAAAAAGCTAACCATCTATCACAATGCCTTTTATTTATTTATTGTTATTCTTATGAACATAATATACAAACTTTATTTGCGTAGATATGTAACCTACCCTACATATTTTTCCCAACACAGCACGTGGAACGTGGAACAGTTTTTTTTATAATTATCGTTACTGTTTCAGATCAGCTTGATCACTGGATCCAATCGGAAAAGTCCTCGGATCTCCAATATTCAGAATGTGCGCTAGACACAGCCCTAGAGCACAAATCTTGGACTTTCCTCAAAGCTAGACTAAGTTTACTATTAGCTTCGTATAAAACTAAGCAGGAAGATGATGAAAAACTACTCGAGGATCCCAATTTATCTGCAAACCTAAAAGTAGCCATAAAAATGAGGTTCACTGAAAAAAGGCTGTTACAAGACTGTTTAGTTTATGCTGAGGAAATGATTCAAAAATAATACTTTGTTTTTCGTTTTGGATTGTTCATGTGTTTTTGCTTTTTATTATATATTGTACAGAGTAATTTTGTTTCGTCTAGGTCAGTAAGTAGAGTTTTACTTAAATAAAATACCAGTCCCTGGATTTTTAATTGCGGGTTCTACAGGAAATTTGCTAACATTGCTAACAAGTCAAAAAAAATGTTTCGGCAAAAGTAGGAATATTGGCAGTGAGGTTTTGCAATGGTTATCGAGTATCGTTGTTAATGATCTTAATTTCTGGTTTTTTATTTAAGGCATTATCATTATTGTAATTTATTTTCTTCTTTCTATCTGCACTTTTTAAAAAAATTTCGGCATATCTATCTATTGATTAACAGAAAAATTATTGTTATTATTATGGCAATTATTATTACTTATATAAAATTATATCCTATACCTATCTATTTCTATTACTCATTGAGTTTGTTTTGTTAGATTTTCAATAGAGTTATTTTTGAAACCGCGACTCGTTTTATTGCCACAGCAAATATCAATTTTCACTGAATCTAGATGTGATTTTTTAACAAAATTATTATTTACATGAGCAAATATTTTCAAGGCTCTGTTGTGGTAGCTTTATTGTTTCGCGCCAATACGCCAAAGAAAGATAAGGTCGCGAGTCTGCTGTTGTCAGCTTATCTATTACACTGTTATTCCATTGTAAAACGCACCTGATTTTCATGAAATAAGTTTTTTTAGTTTGTATTAAGTAACTTTAAATTTAAATAATATTTACATTGTATTACCTACAATAATTTGTGTTTACTATTTACTATGTCTGTAATACACTCTAATGGCAATGGTATCAGTAGGGAAAGACTCATAAATATAAGTGATAAATTGAGAGTGGCTAACCTATGTAAAAAGGAACTGAATTTTAAGTTGCTCGTTATTGGAGATTATGGAGTAGGTAAGTTTGAAGATTTTTTTAAAAATATTCTATGGAACAAATTTTCTCAAATCATTGGTCCTAAATTTTTTTTTAACAAAGACCTTAAATTTGGTGTCCTAGTTGTTTGCCGGTCAGTGTAGATATACTAATCAATGATTATTTGAAGTAACTTGCTACTTTGTGCCTGAGGAAGCAACAATAAAGTTCTGAAACATCAATTTTTACTAATTCTGCTAAACATTTACTGATGATTACCTTGCCACAATGCATTTGTAATATCTGCAAAAAGCATTACTACCTATGTACCTATATTTTTTGTTTTAGGGAAAACTTCAATCATTAAAAAATATACCGAGGGTAAGTACATGAAATCTACCTATAACTGTTTTTCCCATACAAAAACTATTTTCAATTTTAGAAGAAATGTTTCCTTTAAATAAAGTTACAATAGGTGCAGATTTTGCACTGAAAACATTAGAATGGGATGAAGAGACTAGAATTAACATTCATCTATGGGATACAGTAGGACACGACAAATCCGGCTTCTTGACAGGAATCTTTTGTAGGCATGCGTAATTATACCCTTTTTGCAACTCACTAAATTTCGAATAACATTAATGTATTCCAGAGTTGGTGCAGTTTTGGTATTTGACTTAACCAAACCAGAAACGTTTAACTCAGTTAAAAAGGTAACATAATTTAAAAAATAAGCATTCACAAATCTTAGTTATTTTGCAGTGGCTTGTCAATCTAAGAAATAAAATCTCGCTACCAGGTGGACAACCAATTCCCACCATTTTATTAGCCAACAAAGGCGATATGACTACCAAAACTCTTCCAAAAGAAATAAATGATTTTTGTTTAGATAATAACATAATGGGCTGGTTTATTACTTCGGCCAAAACTAACACACAAATTGGTAAGAATACATATAATATGGCTGATTCTCATCTAAGTAGCAAAATGCTGTTCATTGTTCATTGTTTGTTAGCAATGTGAGCATATTGAAGCAATTCAATTTTTATCGCTATATTTCAACAAACCACTTAAATTAAGAATAAAAGAAAAATAATCCTCAATAAGTAACTAAACAAATTCCTTTAAAAAAATCTTGTGTACAGGGTGAGTCACTATATTTTGACGTCTACCTGCAGCCGTAATTACAGGTGATAGGTAAAAAGTGTAAATACAAAAGTTGTAGAATTTTATCTGAACCGTCAGAATTTTTAATTAGATTGAACAAATGAGCAACCCAAAGTGAAAAAATATGTCAATGTTCTTTTTTTTTTAAATGAAATACAGTTTATTTTCTTTCAAATTCTGAAAGTTCATCATTTTTCTCATTCAGATTATATACATATACATACAGGGTGTCCCAAAAAGATACCGACAAACTTCAAGGGGTAGTAGGGGACATCAAAACAAGCATTTTTGTTTATATAAACATATGTCCGCAAATGAGCCATTTGGGCTGTAGAGCAAAAAAACTGTTTGATACTTTTATTCTTCGCGATAATTAAATCACTGTTTACTTATTAATTTTGCTTTATTATCAAATAAATTATGGTTTAGAATAATTGTTCAAAATGTTGACCATTTACTTCAATGCAAATATTACACCGTTGGGTCATTGACTGAGAAGTTTAGTCTACGAAACACCTGTTCGTGATGAGGAAGATCTGATAGCAAGGAAACTGGTGAGTTGTACCCATGTAGAAGCTATTCCCGGAATATTCCAAAGAGTTCGTGAGTTGAACAATTATTGTAAACCATAATTTATTTGCTATTAAAGCAAAATTAATAAGTAAACAGTGATTTAATTATTGCGAAGAATAAAACTAGATACCAAACAGTTTTTTTGCTCTACAGCCCAAATGGCTCATTTGCGGATATATGTTTATATAAACAAAAATACTTGTTTTGATGTCCCCTACTACCCCTTAAAGTTTGTCGGTATCTTTTTGGGACACCCTGTATATATCGGGTCTTCAAAAAAAAACCAATCAGAGATTGCTATGGTTTTTTAAATGTATGTCTTAGCACTATTTTTCTTTAATTTTGTCAATGAACTTCAATGTCAAAATGTCATGTCAAAAATCCTGACCAATAAAAAAACAATAATGCGACATACGTTTTCGTATTCAAAGCAATCTTCGATTGGTTTTTTTTTGAAGACCCGATGTGTTAGTGTTTCTTTCAATAGTTTTGGAAATATCTGGAGTTTAGTTATTCATCATGAGCCTGCTACTATCCATCAAATATAGGCTCATTTTTAGCATCAAAATACAAAAACAATGCAAAATTGTATTTTGATGGCCGTAACTTTGATATGCCACTGTAGCCAAACGGGAGGAGCCACCATATTCTAACTTACTTTTTTGTGTATAACTATAACATATTAAAATTTAAAGAAAATCGTATGGTTCCGAGATTCTCATGTGTCGAGTGCGGGGTCCTTTCTTTATGCAATATTCTTTATTTGCTGCTAATGCAAAAAGCACTCGTAAGCAACTCATATTTACCACTGGTCTGAAACTCTCATGAAAGTCTAAACCATATTGTTGCTCAAAACCACGTATTACAAGTCTTGCTTTATATTTTCCATCGTCTTTCACTTTGAACACCCACTTTCTGGTCAATATTTTTTGGTCTTTTGCACTATTTTTGTCCACATGTACCCACGTATAATTTTCAATCAAAGACCTTTTTTCTTCTTCAATTGCTTGTAGCCATTTGTCCTTTTCTTCACCTTGCACTGCTTCTTGATAAGTTAACAAAACGTAGTCGTTAAATCTTACTGGTTTTCTTATTTCTCTTACCAAGGGAGGTTTAGAGGGGGTAATTTCCCCCCCCCCCCCAGACAGAGATTTTTTTTGATACATTTATTACTTACAGAAAATTTCAACAAAAGACAAGTTCCAGAATGCCTTAAATCATTGAATAAATTGATAGGCTGACTAGTATCGACGTAGAGTGGAAATCATTGCAATTGGCACACACTATGTAAATATCCCTCGTAATGTGTCAAATCTGACACACAGTAATAGCAAAATGCTACACTAAATAGATTTATTGGTTAGAATTTTGACTTAATACGAGGGATTTTGAAGAGTGTGTGCCAATTGCAATGATTCCGACTGTACTACTATACAGCCAAATAAAGGGTATTTCATTTGAAAAAAAAGGACCCCGCACACCTCTTATGGGTTTTTGGTTTTCTGTCAAACTCAATGAAATTTTGATATGTGGTAGACCTTGACTTCCTGATAAAAAGTTCTTATGGGCCCGAACTAATCCTATGATTAGTTTTTGAGATACAGGTACTTTTATGTCCAAGAAATGTATACATTTTATATGTATTCACAATCTACCTGTCACCTAATAAATAGGTCTGTTTCTGAAAAAATCACAAACTTGTCAGAGCGAATTTGATTGGTCGAAAACAGTCAGAAACAGTCATTAAACTAGTTACAACCAATGAAATTCACTCTGACAGACCTAATAATAGGTGACAGGTTGATGTGAATGCATATAAAATGTGTACATTTCTTGAACATTAAACCACCTGTATTTCGGAAACTAATCATAGTATCGGGTTGGGCCCCTGAGAACTTTTTATCAGTAAGTCAAGATATACCACATATCAAAATTTCATTGAGTTTGACAGAAAACCAAAAACCCATAAGATGTGTGCGGGGTCCTTTGCTATGGTTGTTTAGAATGTCTGGTTTTGTGTACAGTATTGCGAATACCCTGTAGAATATTATCAGATTTTCATAGGACTATAAAGTTAATGTAAATACGAGTGTATGCACTAGCAACCTGCAAAAGAGCTTATAGGATCTCAAATGAATGAAATATGTTGGTTTTTGTTGACACATGCAATTTGCGATTTTTTGAAAAAATATCAAATATTTCAAAAACGGTTGAGTTTTAGTATTCTGGTAATTCCTAACAAAAAGTATATAGGATTTTTAGAATAATCCATTAATGAACTAAAATATAGGGTGTTCCAATTGAAATAACAGAGTTCTGTCGCATAGCCCATTTACGGAGCACTCTGTATATTCAAAAATATTTTTAATGAATGCACCGGGATATATTTTTGCCCGAGGCGTGTTTTAAAATCTATGGTTTTAAACGACTTTCGGGTGCAAATTAGGGCGTGGCCTTTCGACATTTGATCATTTTCCCGTCATCCATCAACCCCCACCCCTCCCCCAGAAAATCATCTATGGACCGCCACTGTCTCTTACTGGTCTGTTATCTTTTGGTCTTTGTTGATTTTCTTCTGGTAGTACTTCTTATTCTTCTTACATTGGTCTCACTTCTTCAAAATCTTGTTTCAATTCTTCATTTTCTTGATTTTCTTCCACAATATCCTCAACTTCAATTTGTGTCTGGTTTTCTTTTACCTCAATTTCTTTAGTTTTAATTTTACTAGGATTTATAAACACAACATTTTTACTAATGCCAATATTAACGCGTCTGCCAATGATATACCGTTAACTGTCTGTGATACTTACCATCCAGCTCTATCATTTGTGGTAGACTGTGATACTAAATGTGATTATTTTAACTATGATTATTTTTATTACAATTTTAGAGGGGCTAATTATGTGGATAATAATAGGTATTTATCTTATATGAATTGGAATGAAATCCTGAATGTTTCTAATGTTAATGAGGCTTTAAGCAAGTTTTATGATGTTGTATATTATGTTATTGATATTTATGTTCCCAAATGTAAATGTGAAATTCCTAAATTTCCAAGATGGTATAATGCTGAGCTCAAAGGCTCGATATTTCAGAAGAAAAATGCTCACAAGCAATACAAAAAGACTAGATCGTCTGCAGATTATCAAAAATTTTCTTTCCTGCGACATCAATGCAGAAAAAAAGCTTCTACATGTCATTCAGCATATATTGCCAGACCTGAAAATGAAATTATAAATAAAAAAGAGTTTTGGAATTTTATTAACTCAAAAAGAGATGTCTTAAATTTACCAAATGCTATGCACTTGAATGACTCAATCAGTAACTCCATGGAATCTACTATTCATCTGTTTGCTGAGCATTTTTGTTCCGTACAGGTAACAATGAGACTGATACAAATGGCTGTGAGGGCAAAGACAAAAGTTTAAATTTCTTTTTAGATTTTGAATACTGTAATATTACCAGTTTAGATATTCCTAATTCCATAGGAGAGCTAGGCAACAACTTAGGTTGTGGACCTGATAGCATACCAGTTGAATTTTTAAAGGGCACAAAATTTGTATTATCCAATATATTGCCCATGTTGTTCAATCTTTTTTTGTCTAGTGGAGTTTTCCCAGATATATGGAAGCGAAGTTATGTAGGGTTGCCAGATTTTCAAAACTGAAAAGCGGGAGGTAGGAGGTAGTGAATGGGAGAGAAAAATAATTTTTTTGAGGTGCCACGCCCTAATTTTGTCACATTCTATTTTATACTATACAGAGTGTACGAAAAGTAACGGAATGTATCTCTGAAACCAGTGGTGCAATTTGAACAAAATCTTATGAATTCAAAAATGGTATTGATGTTGTTGCCAGTCTTACCGCAATAATAAACTTCTGGACAATTATTGCTTTCGAGCAAGGAAATTTTTTCACCTAACTTTCAAGGTCAATATTTCTGGAACCAGACCAAATATCGCCCACCGGTTTTCACGGCTAACAGATTGACTTTTTGTGAAAAAAATTGCTATATGGAAACCAGATGGCAATATTTTGGTTCCAAACGTATCGAGGCGTAATTTTTCTTTTGCCCAAAAGCAATAGGGTACTTGCATGGAAAATTAAATTGATTATTGTTTATTGCAAACTGCAGGAAATCGAAAAAAAATCGTTACTTTTTTTTATTCCGCCCAAATATGATTATTCCGGAAGTTATACAAATATTAAGTTTTTTGTATATAGATATACTGAGCATGTGCGACGTCACAACTCACAGCGTATTATACCTAAGTTATGACGTCGGAAGGACATTTCAAAGCGTTGTATCTTTGTCAATTTTTGACTAACAAGAAAAAGAAAAAACACGTGTTGACTTATAGTCCAAGAAACGGGGATCTAAAAAGAGGGTTTACCTCAACATAATTAGAAGTTAACATTTTTTGGGGGGGATCGGTTAATTTTCATGTGCTTAATAATATATTAAGTTTGCGACCTTGTATTTCCATAGGGTTTTTAGTTAGGGGTGGTTTTTAGGGGTAATTTGCGGTTTATGGAGAACGCTGCACAAAGGGATGGTCCAATAGCAAAAAGTTTCAAATGAATGTTGTAGCTGAAATTTTTTGCTATAAAAAACTCAGCGACAGCACCCTTCTATCTTCTGTAGTTTTTTTTCTGCAGCGTCTTGAATACTAGCGTGTTTTTATCCAAGGTCACTGAATCAACGTCCAAAAACCACCCCTAACTAAAAACCCTATGGAAGTACAAGGTCGCAAACTTAATATGTTATTAAGCACATGAAAATGAACCGATCCCCCCCAAAAAATGTTAACTTCTAATTATGTTGAGGTAAACTTCCTTCATTGCTTGGCCTATTATTTTTCATGGACTATCGAAATCTGCAATAAAAAAATTTGATGCAAGGGGTCTATTGTCCAGCAGTTTAGGTATTACAAGAGGAAAAGTTTTGTCGGCATTGGACTAGACAACTTATACTTGGACCAAGTAAGTTGGCAGCCAGCCTACTTACTTGGATGTTAGGACCCGAGTTAGGACCTATCCTGGACTTGGATAAACAGTTGATACGATCCAAGTATCGTTCAAGTGAGGCGTGCGCAGCGTCCAAGACTCCAAGTATACTTGGACCATGTAAACCGAACCTGGCTTAAATAAAGTGGAGCTTGGCAGAGAATTCTTGGAGCTCAAACTCCCTTTACAATCTACAGTCAGCGTCACAATACAATACAATACAATACCTTCAGTTCAGATTGGATGCTTCAACTCTCAGGATTGAGTAGTTCTGTCTTCGTTTGGAGTGGGAGATGAAGAAAGATGCAAATATTATTATCAAAGTGCTCGTCGCTCGACGTTAATCGAAGCTCCCCAGTTGCGTTGGGTTGCCAGATTTATAATGAAGTATTAAAATTATGGGCACCTAATTCAGAATTATATTTCATGTAATTTCTATTTTTGGGAAAAGCGGGAGTTTTGTTTAAGTGCGCGGGAGGCGGGAGGTTTAGTAAAAAAGCAGGAGGTTTAGTAAAAAAGCGGGAGGGTTGGCAACCCTAAAGTTATGTAACACCCATCTTCAAAGATAGTGATAGATCTGATGTAAAAAACTACAGAGCAATTTCAAAAAACTCAATTCTGTCTAAAATATTGGAATATTTTCTTTTGTAAACAAATGCCTATATCCACTGCTTTCACCTCAGATAATCCCAGAACAACATGGATTTTTAAGAGGAAAATCTTCTACAAGTAACTTGCTAGAATATCAGCAGTTTGTAGTTGAAGCTATGAAAGAACGTTTCCAAGTGGATTTTGTGTACACTGACTTTACAAAAGCTTTTAATAGAATAAATCATTCAGTTTTGATTAAAAAAATTGAAGCAATGGGCGTTCACGGAACTCTGCTGACTTGGTTGAGCAGTTATTTATCTGGTAGGTAAATGTTGCACAATCAGTTTCTACCAATTGAAGATACCCATTGTATACTCCTATGTATTAAATAATCAAGGAACTGATTAGAGAGATCATAAAGGACCTTGGGGTGATGATTAATAAAGAATTCACATTTGGACCTCACATAGAATACCTAAAAAATAGGTCGATTAAATTGCTTGGATTTGTCATTCGTTCTCTGAAAGTTTTCAATAACATATTATATGCATTGAATGGTTATTTACCTAACAAATGCGGAAAGTGCCTTTACCGCACTTAACGGCGTGCTGTACTAGACGAAGCTAACGGTAACTAAACTTAACTAAGTTTGAGCAGCCACTGCCACTGAGAACGATTTTCGTTTAGTTCTCAGCTGTGTTTTCATGCGGAAAGACCTATAAATTTATTTAAAAAGTTAGAATGAGTCCTGTTGCAACAAAAATAGATCTGTATTCCAAGTCAGCATCTGTAGAATCATACTTTTTATGTGCAAACACAGTGGAAAGTAAATAAATAATAAATTGGCAGCGAAAAACTTTGTTCGAATCTGACATGAGCTAAATCGAACGAAACGAAACCAAGATTTTAATCTTGACAAATCTTCACTTAGTTTAGCTAAAATGGCCGAGGGTATATTTGAGAGTATGGTAACTAATTTACTGAAAACTTATCTTCGCTTAGCTTAGTTTCATTCCGCTCGCAGTGGCCGCCCACCTTGGCGCAATAAGTAAAGAAGGATCAAAGCCGTTTTCTCGTGTTCACTTTTGACATTGGTTTAAAACAGGTTTGAAACGGGCAACTGTGTTTCCATTAGCTGAATTTTTGGTTAAAAATGTACGATTTTTTTATGATGGTCGTCTTGCTGCTGCGTAGATGAGAATTAGATGTGAGAAACATTTTTCATTGTAATTTTGAAGTAATATTTTTTTTTAGATGAAGCCATGTTGAGGCTAACTAATGCAGTGTTAATAAATCACCACGGTTTACAATTTCCTCTAATTACAGATGACATTATAAAATTACCTAATGAAAATGGACATGGTGCAGGACCATCGAATCACTCCAACAAAAAACATTACTGCTGTAACAGTTAGATGAGTTTCATTTTATTAAATATACAACTCACTATCTTATACTAGTTCAATAAAACTTCCTCTCATAATAGAACTACTTTTAATTTAAAACAAATGCATCAACAAATAATTTTGGCTCTGGGATAGTCTCCTATTTCATAGCCGATAATGCATTTTCATTTGCTAACATTTGGAACTCTTGGAATCTTTGTGATATTCTTTGGTTGACTTTTAGGAACTTTTCTAGGCAGTTTAGTGAACATTTGTCCTGAAAATAAAAGGAAATTACTGAGTGAGACTATAGTGCAGATGTTTTTTTAGCTGCTGGTTGGATTATGTCTGGGAAGTTAGCAACACATTCGGAGCAGGATTGCTGAAACATGTTCCTGCCTGTGCTGCTATGGTCCTGGTTCATCCTGCGTTAAACCGAAACCCAGCAACACCTACCATTTTCGAAATAGATCGATTCCCATTTTGGTTGCTAACTTCCCTTGGCAACACATTGGAAGCAGGATCGCTGTTGCTATGGTCCTGCATCATCCTGCTTCGGCAACATTTGCTATTTTCGGGATATAGCAATTTTTATTTTGATGGCTAACAAACCACCACCACAACACGTACTATTTTAGAGATACAGGGATTTTCACTCGGATTTTCATTATAGTTTGTAATTTCAACCTTGGCTTGGGAACACATTGGGAGCAGGATCGCTGCAACATGTTTCTGCTTATGATGCTATGGTCCTGCCCCATTCTGCTCCAGTTACCCCAGCTACACCTAATATTTTTGAGATACACCGTTGCCAAATATATCGTAATGAGTGCTTGCCTCTATATGTTGAGATTTTAGACGAAAAGAGCTAATCCAAAGTAACCCGTCCCTCTGTAATGAATGTGAGCCTCTGTGTCTTGGTATTTTAGATGAAAAGAGCTAATCCAAAAATTGAATTGAAACTAACCTGTCCTGGGATAGGTGGCCTCCCTGCGCTTCCATAGGGTGTTTATTTTTCTTTTTACAGACTAGCATACATATCAAAGACAGCTCTTTTCGTCTAAAATACCAACATACAAAGACTAGCTATTAGTATGAGGAGGGGTTGGTTTGGATCAGCTTGGATTAGCTCTCCTCGTCCAAAATACCACCATACAAAGTCTAGCACTCAGCATTCATTACTAAAGTACGGGTTAATTTGACTAGTTTTAGATAGTTTGGATTAGATCTTTTCGTTAAAAATACCAACACAGAAACAAACATTCATTGCGATACATTTGGCAATGGTTTCTCGAGCTCACCGTGTTCTTACGACTAGACTCTTGTATTGCTACCAGTGTGTATCTCTGAAATATTAGCTGTTGATGTGGTGATTGAAGCAGTTTGAGGCAGGGCCATAGCAATGCAAGCAGGAACATTTTGGAGCGATCCTGTTTTCAATGTGTTGCCAAGCCAAGGGTGAAGTTACCAAGCATAATGGAAATCCTTAAATCTCGAAAATAGTAAGTGTTGCCGGGGTGTGATTTGAAGCAGGACCATAGCAGCACAAGCAGGAACATTTTTGAGCGATCCTGCTTCCAATGAGTTTCCAAGCCAAGGGTGAAGTTACAAACCATAATGAAAATCCCTGTATCACAAGAATGGTATGTGTTGCCGGGGTGTGATTTAAAGCAGGATGAGGCAGGACCATAGCAACACAAGTATGAACATGTTTCAGCGATCCCGCTTCCAATGCTTTGCCAAGGGTGAAGTTAGCAACCAAAATAGAAATCCATATATTTGGAAAACGGTGGGTGTTGCGGTTTGAAGCAGGACCATAGCAGCACAAGCAGGAACATGATTTAGAGATCCTGCTTCGAATGTGTTGCTAACTTCCCCGACATGATTGGATTGTCTTTTTTGTTGAAGCAATTCCTAAAGCAAAATCGCTTACCTCAGCATGTTTGATATTCCTTGTTGTGAAATCCGAAATACAGTCAGTAAAGCACATCTCTGTTAATTTGTTGTAGGATATTAAAAAATCTTTGAACTGAAAATAGGGAAATGTTTGGCTAGGTGATATCAGAATTAGGAAAACAAAAAGGTACTTACGGTTTTGATTTGATCGGAATCGATGTTTTCTAAACCGGCCCCCGGTGGTAATGGAACACTCATTTTGAATGAGTATTTTTTTAATTATTAAATTTTTAAAAACTTTAATGAAAACTAAACTCTTATTTAAAATTCATGTGTGAAATGATGGTTAGGGTGATTGGTGAAATGTGTTCGTGTTCCGTTTTCTGTTCCGTGTTCCGTGATGTTTAATTATAGTTGTATTCCTTTCACACCTAGGAGGAGCTCCGGAACAGCTCCGGGGCTTCACGCCTCTATTCCTTTCGAAAAGTGTTTGTTGCACCACGCATCTGTTCCCTGCAAATTGGGGGCACCTGAACACCGGAGCGAGTAGCTCGAGTGTTTCAAACTCTTGAAAGGAAAACAACTTATATGGAGGAACGGGTACGTTTGAAGAACGAGCTACCGGAGCGGCGCAAGGAGAATACACACTCAGGAGTGCTGGGTTGCGTTTAGAAATATCACTCTGGGTGTAAGAGTGACCCTAGAGTAACTCTAAACCGTTCATAAATTAACAAGTGCTTACTCGGAGCGTTACGCTGGAATCGTTCAGAAATCGAGAGATGACGTGCCCAGAGTGCGCTCAAATTACCCCACTATACGAACTGGTTTCAAAAACGCCCCGCAGTTTTTACCGGGTTTGACGTGATTTCGAGTTTATTTTCATTATGATTATGTGTTGGAGTCCTCTTAGGGCGGGTATTATAAAACTGCTTTGAGAGTTAACTTAAAGTTAACTTCTGGAATTACATGTAATTCAAAAAGTTAACTTCAAGTTAACTCTCAAAGCAGTTTTATAATACCCGCCCTAAAGCCTAGTACTCATAACTGCGAAATTTGGATTTTTTTGACATTGCTCCGACAATTTGACGTTTGATACACGCATAAAACGTCAAATTGTCAACGCAATGTTAAAAAAATGCGAATTTCGCAGTTATGAGTACTAGCACAGCCCTCTACACTTACAAGCCATGAAGTTAAAAAGGCAACACCGCAATCTTACCGCCAAGTGGTGCTGTTTTATGTAACCTCAATTCCGCGTATGGTTTATTTACTTTTATTGATGATATGAATTCTTATCTCAATTACATAAAAAAGTAGTTTTCTTTGAAAAAATATTAGTAGTTAGTAAAATTATTGTAATATTACCAATATTTTGTACATATTAATCACACAAAATGCATCATATTGTACTAAAAAGTAAAAACAGTAATTCAATGAATAATATAAATATTTGTGTAAATACGAACAGTAAATAATTGATTTAAATAAATATATTACTAGATTCTAAAGTGTTATAATCCTATATCTATTTTATATGTACAAGGTCTTGTCAAACAATTCTATACAACTAGCAACTACCTATCATGTTAAAAAAATAAATACTTTCTAAGAATTCGGGAAAGCTACCCTTAAAACATACCTCTATTATTATTTTTAGTACCTAGGTACATTTTTTTTCTATTTCAAAGTGGTTAGTTTTCTTTTTTTACTTGAATCTGTTTTATTTTTATGACATTCACTATTTTTAAATTTTGTGTAGTTGTTTAAAATAATATTACTCATTATCAAAGAAGCAAAGGAGTAAATTTTTTTTGAGTTAGCACCACATTCACAAATTTTGTTCAAATCAATATTAAAGGTATCGGACTCTAAAGCTAATAAAGTAAGCTGCGATAATAAATTATGATGATCATTTGTTTTCAGGAACATACTTTCAAGATCTTTGTTATTAATTATATACTCGAAGATAGCACAAAGATGAAAATAAATAAACTTGGTTTCTTGAGTGGCAATACAGAGACCCCCTCTGCAGAGAATTAAAATATGTATGATCCGTCTGGATGCCTTTTGCTAGAACTACTAAACTTTGACATTTATCACATTTATTATTCTTCAAAACTGATCGAGCCACGTATCCACAGATGTATTCCTCCACAGAGTCATCAAAATTGCTGTACAATTTTAAATAATCACTATGCAGAACAAATTTGAAATTGTTAATTTCCTGCAAACTTACACACATGACATCAAAATGTTTCGCACACACTACAGAATTTTTTGTTACCGTATAATTATCTCGGTGTATAGCTTTTAGCCATAATTTCTGTAATTCGGAAGTTTTTGGAAATGAAAATGTTGTTTGCAGTTCCTCAGTCTTCAGGGAACTCCTATAGTTGGATTTGCACCTCGGCACACAGCAGTTTCTTGGCATCTGGAACAAGTTTAAATATCTTAGATAATAATAATATCGAGACCTATACATGTGCTCTTGCACTTTGCAAAGTGGAAACAAATATTATATTGTTTTTATTTGCTTTTACCTTAACTCACCTTAATTTTTGCTCCTGTACCGATTGCAGTATTTGCTATAAATTCACAATCAAAACACAACTAATAATGGCATAACAGGTATGAACCAAATATAAACAGTAAGTAAACAATATATTGGTGTTTCTAGCCACTTTTTCGTTTGAAAATGCACCTCACTCTAGCAATAAACAATGAAAACAATACACAGAAACATATAACAGCAAAAAAGCACAGGAACGGCTAGATGTAGCGCAAATGATAACAGCGTTGCCGGATTTCTCTATGACAGCCGAGAAAATTAGGTTATGTTTTTTTTGTTTGTTGTATTTTATTTGAATTTGAAAGTATATGGCGCGAATATTTTGGCGTATTTCAAATTTTAACGATATTACTGTTTTCTGTTTCTGCGACCTGTAGGTTTTTGTTTCTTAATAATAATTATGTAGGTATTAATATTATCCTAACAAATACTATCGATAGTTCGTGATGTGGTGTTCTAGAGTTAATTAGTTATACAATAATAGTTATTTTAATAAATTTATTGTGATTGGGAATTAGGAAATAATGGACAGTTGACCAAGTAATAGTGCTACCTGTGAATTTTGTGCTAAGGTTTTTTCTAAAAAATACAACCTCAACAGACACTTGAAAAACAGTAATAATTTTAAAAATGGTGAGGAAATTACTTGGAAGAAGTCACAGTATTTTATATTAGTTGACGTTTATTTAAAAGTCTGAGAAACAATTGCTTCCCTGGAGAAAGATCTTTTACAGTTCCGGAATATGCTTTTGACGATGCTATTTGTAGAAATGTATGGATGATTGCCAAGTGTCATTTACAACAAACCAGGAGTTGAGAAGGCAATTAACAACTAAGCATGGTTTCGAAATAGTGAAACACTCAATAAAGTTTCATAGATAGTTAAAACAATTAGAAGTAGGTACCTGTACTTCTTAATTACAATGACTCATCAAGTAAAACATATACCTCTACTTATTATTTATTGTTAAAGAGTACCTACCTATTGTAATTTATCATTATTTGTTGAATCCATATGTTGTAGTTGTAACAAATGTATAAAATGCCAATTGAAATTGAAAATAGACATTTTGAAATTAAGCATTTTTCATGTTTTTATTCAATAATAAGAGGAGAAAAAGAAATACCCATCATGAAGAGCTTTATTATTAATATTATATTACTAGAATCTATGAAGATGAATACATACATTCATATATCTATGAAAAGAACTCTGATATTTGAGAAAAGGGTCCATTATCTCAAGTAAGATAGACCTAACCAAACCACAGCCACCTAGCTAGCAAAAAAAAGGCTAACTGCCACCTGTACAGCCAGCTGCCAACTGACATATAACTGAAGCGCCGCACGGAATATCAGTTCAACCTACTCAAACATAGATCTCCCACATTAAGATTGACAGAATTAAATATTTCTCGTTGCCATTTATTGAAAACTTAACTTCGCGTTTCGCTAATGTTTTCGGTGATATTGATAGTATCGAGATTGCCAGAAGACAAACGAAAACAGTTTCCCGGATTTATACTGAAACCAAAACTCCTTTATCACCCCTAGAGAGATACAATGTGGTTTATCGTATAGGCTGCAACAACTGCGAGCTTAAGTACATCGGCCAGACATCCAGAAACCTGAAGGTTAGCCGCTCCTATTCTTAGGTGCTTTCCAGTGACCCATTTGAGTTACTCCTGAGCAGCTCAGGAGTGCTCCACAATTGCTTTGCGCGTTCCAGTGCTTAGAGTTTCGTACACTTGAGCTACTCATTTCTGTTATCCGCTGCCCCCTCGTGCACCAACCTTTTTGTCTGTGTTTCATGCTCCTGAAATCCGAAATGGTGGGGGTTAAGACGTGAGCGTTCCAGTGCTGCTTATGTTGAACAGTTCAAGAGCGTCACACTTCAGGAGCATCATACTCTAACAATTTAGGCACTGGAAAGCGGCTCTGTAGTAGTAGTCAAACTGCGCCATTATCGTTTGTATTCTGCAGAAAATGTCGTGATTAAACACATCTGATCTGCACATGCACGCTCCAGCTGCCCACTCCACAAACTCGGAGTTTATCGAGCTCGCTCTGAGCGCTCAAAATATGTCAAACCAAACACAATCAAGCGTTGTATGAGCTTCAAAAATAACGGAAGAGAGACAAAAGTGCAAGCTCTGAGTACACCGAGCGTGAACCCAAACGCGCCCGTAGTAGTAGTGTGTATCATCAGCTGTATTCCTTTCACACCTAGGAGGTGTTCCGGAACAGCGCAGGGGCGTTACGTTACGCGCTTATTCCTTTCGAAAAGTGTTTGTTGCACCTGAGTGCTCAAGAAGCCCTACTTAAACCATGTAATGCATGAAAACCAGCGCATCTATTCCTTTCAAATCGGGGTCGATGAACAGTGAACACCGGAGCGAGTAGCTATAGTGTTTCAACCTCTTGAAAGGAATACAACTATTCTTGCTATGTCAGACTCACCGATCTGTTCCATCCTTGGATCCGTTCCTCCATATTCTTACCCGGAGTCCGGTGATGTGATTTTGAATTTGTCAAAAACTATCAAATTTAAAAAACATGCCAAATGAAGGTAAGGTAAATTTCTGCATTGGCGTTGTCTATGGCGCTGCCATCTGTGTATCAAAACCGTAACTTGCAAAAGTCAATCAAAGTTTGAATTTTCAAAATGTCAACAATTCTGGCGCGTTTTCCCTCCTAAAAGTGTTAATTTCCCATATTTCCAAAAAAATTGTGTGTTTGCCCCATTTTCCAGTTAGTTCCTGTGTATGTTTTTTTGAAGCATGTATACTGGAAGAACAATACAACTTTTAAAGACTATTGTTTCTTAAAAATAACAATCATAACCTCAAAAAAGTTTGTTTGTATGTAAACAAAAACATGACTCAAAAGACCTCAACTGAAAAAGTTACAAAAAACATAGAAAGACCAAAGCCTATTAGAGGGAACCGTGAAGTAATAAGGCACTTTGATCCGTCTACAAATACCGCAGCTCCTTATTCAAATTTAGATCAAAATATCCCTTTAGTCAATGTTGATCCAAGTGAACAGAAAAGTGCGTCAAAACCTAATAAAACTGTTAAAATCTCTAAAGCATCTAGAACTTTCAAGCAGAATAATAAATGTCGAATCAACTTAGACATCAAAAGCAGTTCTTCATCTAGTTTAGAAACTAAAATAAAGAAATTTCAAAGCAAATCACTAAAGGGAGGTCAACCCAAGATAAAATCTAAATCATTTCATTTGGGCCCCACTTTCACTAAACCCAACGAAAATGTTGTAAGCAATGCCAGAGAAAGACAGCTTCCAGCTAAACCCCAAAATGTTGTTAGTAGTGCTAGAGAAAGACAGCTTCCAGCTAAACCAAAAAACAATACTCGTTTAAGATCTTCCACAGATCCAGCTTTATTAAAAAAAGAACTCAATGTTAGAATATTAAAACAAGAAATTTTAGATAATAAAAGAGAAACTGTTCAAAGAGCTCTTCATCCAGATGCATGGGTCCCCATAATTGATCCTCGAGTGGAAGGCTTGAAATCAGAAATCTTACAATCAAAAACCAAAAATATTTTGAACAAAAAAATATTTATAACAGAATTAAAATCAGAAGTAGCCAGATATAAGCATTATGAAAATTTTATGGTTTATAATGTTGAAGAAGACGAAAAGAAGAAGCAAGAAAATAATAAGCAACATTTGTCAAACAAAAAGGTTCCAATTGGTAGTGAAAAGCCTGTAGCATTGCTGTATCAGAATCAGAAACTTCAACCAAACATTGACCCAAGCTCAGATAAAAGCAACCGAGAAAGCAACACATCTGCATCAACAGGTAAGTTTGTTAGGATAATTAAAAACTGCTTTTTTTTCAGGGAATGACTACCCTATTATGGCTTCACCGTCTGGGATATCTAGCTAAAACTAGTTGTGGTTGAAGGAGATTTCCGGTTCATCATGCTGTCCTTGATACCCTGCCTGTTTAAATGTTGACCAGTTAGACCTCGAGTTAGACAGTGTCCAGTTCTCATCCTGATATTATTGTAGCTATGTGTCTTCTTTTTATGTATTCCATATTAATGAACTAAGGTTCAGAGTAAGGTTCTTTTGGGAAAGTCTGATAAACCCCCTTGTATATTACTCCTTTTTTGCTCAGTGATTCCTTTCACATATTATTCCAAAGTTCTTTATCTACCCAAAAATGTGTACACCACTGCCTAAGTTAGGCAATGTGTAATAACACTAGGGCTGGGCGATTATCAAAATAAATAATCGATTATCGATTATTAAAAATAATCGATTATTTTCGATTAATCGAAAATAATCGATTAATCGAAAACAATCGATTAATCGAAAATAATCGATTAATCGGAAATAATCGATTAATCGGAAATAATCGATTAATCGAAAATAATCGATTAATCGAAAATAATCGATTAATCGAAAATAATCGATTAATCGAAAATAATCGATTAATCGAAAATAATCGATTAATCGAAAATAATCGATTAATCGAAAATAATCGATTATTTTCGATTAATCGATAATTTTTTTTGATAAATCGTTTATTTTCGATCTATCGATTATTTTTGATTATTCGATTATTTTTGATTATTCGCTTATTTCACAATAATCGGTAGATTTTTTTCTTGGGTTTCATGAAGTAAAAGAAATTCACTTGCCCTTAACCGGCTTGTTTTAAAATAAACTCTGGTTGCTTTGGAGTTTGAGGCCCGGTTTATTCATCTTCAGATAGACTTGCTGGTTGACAACTATTAGCAAGATCAATTTACCCTTCTATAATTATTGTCTCGGTCGACCAAGGGCCGACCAATAACTGGCCGACCAATAACTGGCCGACCAATGGGATTACAGATTGTGTTATTATCCGCGAAATTGCATACCTAACAGTTTATCAGAAGGTGAATAAACCGGCCCTTAGATATGCAAACAAAAACAAAACATAAAATTATCTCAAAAATAATAGATTAATCGTAAATAATTGATCAATCGAAAATAACCGATTAATCGAAAATAATCGAATAATCGAAAATAATCGAATAATCTAAAATAATCGATTATCGAAAATAATCGATTAATCGAAAATAATCGATTAATCGAAAATAATCGATTAACCGAAAACAATCGATTAATCGAAAATAATCGAATAATCGAAAATAATCGATTAATCGAAAATAATCGATTAATCGAAAATAATCGATTAATCGAAAATAATCGATTAATCGAAAATAATCGATTAATCGAAAATAATCGATTAATCGAAAATAATTGATTAATCGAAAATAATCGATTAATCGATTATTAATCGATTGATCGATTGTCGATTATTTGAAAATAAAATAATCGACTAATCGATTAATCGATTATTTTGCCCACCCCTAAATAACACTGCCTAGTCAATGCCTATGGCGATTGCTGCGAACATTTCTGTCAATACCGACAATGTCGCCATCAATGTCAAGAATGCCAACATCAATGCCGTCAATTCCAACACAATGCCGTCCATTTCGACATCAATGGCTTCAATTCCGACGTCAATGCCGTCAATTCTGACATCAATCCCGTCAATTCCGAAATCAATTCAATGCCGTCAATTCCGCGATCACTGCGTCAATTTCCCTTATTTATCTATTCAATGCCCACAATTCCTAAATCAGTTCCTTGATCATTTCTCTCACTGCCGTAAATTTGTACACCAATGCTGATTGTGAAACACCCCTCAGGTGTTTCTTAATTTTAGGTAGATATACAGTAAGGGGCAGGCTACTAGGTATATAGGATCCAACTTGACGAATTTACGATCGTCCGCAGCCGTCTGAACACCTGTCGCTGTCGGTCCGCTGTCGTTTTTTCGATGACTTTGACGTTCATAAACCATGGTTCACATCAGTACGTTTTATGATTTTACAGACTTAAGCCCGGTCCAGACGTTACGTTACTGATACCTGATCACGTGTTGAACTGTGCAGACAAAACTTGATGCAAAACGTAGCATCTAGACCGTGCTTTTAGATGTATCGTCGAGCTTCACTTACTTATAATTATTAAACGGCGTGTATAGATAGATTTTTCTGGAACCGAAATAATAATCTATGGAAAAAAAACATGTATTTTAAAAAAGCCATCCAGGAAGAACTAAAAATACTTATATTCAACATAAAAAATAGAAAAAAAATTAAGTAAAATAAAAACAAAAATTCTAGTTTTGACCCCAAAAACCTGGCTCGATTACCATTTGCACTACAATGTAGCAAATGTTCAAACAGTCCCAGTCCACCTTCTTGAACTAAACAATGACCTAAACGATCATAGAAGGCTCTACGAATATTATTTAGCATCACAGGGGTGACAGTTAGATATATTTCTCGAATTTTGAAATGCAGCTGCTCAAGGTTCACGGCGCGATTCTCCTGAAAACCATACATTTTTGATTTGCAATAACCCCAGAGAAAATAATCGTTGGGTGCAAGATCGGGAGAGCGTCACAGTATTGTAGCTCTCGACCCAGCAATGAGACGGTTCGGAAAAGTATTATTCAAATGGTCCAGAATGAAACCCGTAATATGGGCTGGACATCCATCTTATTGATACCATATTTCATTAAATCTATAGGACCAGATAATCTTTCAATTTCTGGAATTATCTGCCGTTAGCCCGTTGCAAAAGATCCAAATATTTTGGACCAGTTAAGTTAGCGTTCATGAAGTACGGCCCAATATATGTTATCCACACAAACCGCTCCAGACAGTTACCTTTTGACGACGCTGGGCTCTAAGCTCAAAATACCTGTGTAAATTCTTCTTAGACCAATAACGGGTGTGACTAGGATTATGTCGACCATGGAGTTGAAATGTCGACTCATCTGTAAAGACAATTTTTCTAAGAAAATCTTGATTTTCATTTGCCTTATTAATGACACACAGTTTCACAAAAATCCATTCGCCTGATGTTGTCCTCAGGATCAATTTTTTGGGAGTTTCTTACTTTGTACGAACGATACTTTTTTTTTTCTGTGGCTCCTAACCGTCCTTGTACTTGAGTCAATATCCTGCGCAAGCGCAAGAGACGAAATAGTTGAAGTTTTGTAAACTAATGCCAACAACCAACAACATAATTTATTTGGCTTCTTGATCCTCATTATTTTCCGGGACGTCATTTCGTTCGAGAAACACAACCGTATTTTTGAAAATTATTAACAACCCTAGAAACTTTTTACTTGGTTGTCGCCAGGTTAGCGCTAAATCGATTTGTCATTTTCTGACATGCGGACGCCTGCAAATTCGTCAGGTTACATCCTATATACCTAGTAGCTTGCCCCTCACTGTATATTTTTTTCTATTTTGGTGTCATATTGCAGTCTTTTCGACACTAAAAGTAGTTTCGAAAAGAAGCTCTTTGTGACACTCCTTTTTTACTTATCGGAGGTTGGTGACACTCACTGACTGATGGCCATCGAACAGTCATTCGCTATTTTATAATAGAAGATTTATATATTTGGTATGTAGTGTTACCTACCTAAACTATGAAATCAGAAAATATGAGAATAAAATTTCCAAGAAAAATTTGTTTTTCTTAAATTAAACAATGCCAAAATAGAAAAAATTGTATAAAATATTCGTTTCATAAGACATTTTATGAAACTTGTATTTTAATGTACTATTTTACATCCAATTGTATTGGATATGGGACCCTAAGCTTTCTACCCACATTAGCCAATTGGTCTGCTACCATGTTGCCTCTGATGTTTGAGTGTTCTGGAATCCAGAGTATTTTTATGTCAAAACCATTTTCATTTGCTTCCATTATTTGTTGTTTAGTCATTGCTATTAAGTGATCTAGATTTTTAGAATTTGTACAAACCAATGCTTTCACCGCGCTTTGTGAAACTGTCAAAATGAAGCTCTTTTTTATGTTTCCCTCAAAACATACAGTCACAGCTTTGTGTATTGCTACTGTTTCCGCTGTGCAGATCTGAGTAAAAGCGCGTAATCCGCCTGTGAGCAGAAAACACCAAACCCTGCTTCATTTGTGCTTTTTTCCACACTTGCATCTGTGTAAAACTGATAATAATGAATAAACTGCTCATCTATTATTTCCGCAAATTTTCCTGTAATATCTATATTCTGTTTGTTGACATCCGTTTTACAGGTTGGTATTTTCCCTATTTGGTATTTACTCGGGTATTTATATTCAAATTTAAACCTGGGGTGTGTTTCATATTTCTTTATTTTCTCTTCCAGTCCCCCATATTCATGTACCAGGTATGGGACTTCTCTGTTAGCAAAATAACATCCATTTCTATCCAGCTCCCTAAACTCCCTAATTAACATTATAATAGGGTTGTTTTTTATTTTCATGTTTTTCAGTGAGAATTTCATACATCTGTCAAAACTGGTATTCCAACAATAAATTGACATGTTTTGATTGTTGATTTGAACCAATCAGATTGTAATTACGCGATAATTTGCACTAGTGCAAATTATCAGATAATTGCATACTAACTGGTGCGAAAACTGGTGTTTTGACATTTTTTTAAAAATGCATTCAGGCAAATTTCCCAAAAATTATCAATAATTTCCATTGCACTAGTTATATTACTATTGATAATTTTTGGGTTAGCCATTTTCTTCTTACCTTGAGGGATTGCTCACTTGCTTCTGTTAGTAGATAATAAATTTGTTGGTGTTGATCTCATGCATCCCAGAATTGTCCTCAAAGCTGCATATTGCGTTGTGTCTAGTTTTTATTTATTTTCAATTGTTGTGGTATTGATGAATTGGGATCCATTATCCAATTGAGATCTTATGATTGCTT